ACAGCGTTTCCAACAGGGTTACAGGATTTCTTTATCTAAAACGGCTGCCCAAAATTAGAAAAGAGTGAGGCATAGTGAAGCGGAAGGATCACGAGTTAAACTTCTTAACTTTTTTGGCTTGAAAGCAACTAAATCTGAACACTCCAATTCAGCCCATAAGTGTGTAAATGAATGGAAATCTGTGAGAAAAAGAAGAATCGCCCGTTTCAGGTCCCCCTTCTTACCCACTGGGCAATATTTCCCGCATCTGCCCAAGTATTTTCCTAACCCCTCTCCCCTTCCTCCAACAAGGAGAACCACGAAAAAACCCTATTGCTGAAGTGGGAGAGATCCGCCATGCTTACAGAAAGAAAAGAAAAAGATGCGGAGCTGGACAAATCTGTCTTGAATTATAGTTTTGCAGAAATGTTTCAGCAATCTTCAAAAATTTTTTTGAAAAACGAACTGCTTCTTCTAAAATGCATGCCAGAGGTTCCGTTGGAAACAGATTCGCGGGGTAAAATACGAATTTCAGAATTGAGACAATCGGAGAATGGCAATGGGAATTTTGTTGTGTTCAGTACCACAGTAAATTATCAAATAATTTTTGATACAGCAGAATGAACTAACATTTTTCCACTGCGTAGCCATCCATCCGTTACCCTGCAAGCAGGTTGCATGAAAATTATTCACTTGCAAATCCGATTTCCTCCGCTTCTGTAATGTGAAATTTACAGCGGAGAAATTTTAAAACTTCGCTAATTATTATAAAGTATGGCCAGAAGCAGTAGTTTACAATTCGACCGCCCTACCAGTCATGTTATATGGGTGTAATACGTGGAACACCACATTTGCTGAAGAACGGAAGTTGGCAGTCTCTCAAAGGGCAATGGAGCGGCAGATGACTGGCGCCAATAGGCTACAGCACATTCTAGATAAAGTGCTATGAGCGAGACCTGGCGTGAAAAATATTACTGAAGCAAGGCACGCGAGAAAGAGGAGATGGGCTGGTCATGTCTCATCCACCATACTCGCCAGACCTTTCTCCTACCGACTTTCACTTCTTCAAGCATTTCGACAACTTCCTGTGCGGGAAATGCTTCAGAAACCAAGTCGGTGCCGAAGCTGCCTTCGATGACTTCATTGCCTCCAGAAGTCCAGATTTTTAAGCAACCGGAATAAACAAGCCTGTAGAGTGTTGACAAAAATGTGTTGATTCTAATGGTTCTTACTTCAATCAATAAACTTTATTCATTGCTGAGGTATGTCACTTTAAAAATTTTGGTCGAAAACGGACATTACTTTCCGAACAACCTAATAGCACGGATATCAGATGATAGATCGACGAAGCGGATAATGGAATGGTATCCACGCACAGTCAAGCGGACACTGGGGGAAGCCATCAGTGAGGTGGAGAGATCCCATGGTACACCTGTACGGTATCGTGTGGACTCGAAGAGCGCAACAACAAATCGAACGGAGAAGTTGCCAGTGCTGCATCGATGGCGTAACAACAACGAATGTCGATGACATATAGCTGCTCAAGTATTCAAGTATGGGCTACTGACGCAGCGCCAAATAACGCTATCTTTACGCCAAAAGTTCAAAGTATGACTTTGCCAGTGGAGATCCAATCTCTCGACGATATGTCATTAATTCGTTCCGACGGTAAACTATCCTGTCATATGGTGGGAGCTGGCCATCAGTTTGCTTCGGAAGAATTCCTGGGAGAGACAATCATTGCCTGACATGCCAGTGGATGGTTGTTGTTGGCATGTGCTACTTCACTCAATTTATTTTCGAGTGCTTACGCTTCTCGAACACTCTGAGTCATTGGAAAGATTTATTTTTATTACAATATTGGCATACATATACTGTAGCTATGCTGCTGCTATGATATACACAGTGGCTATACAGAAGCGATGTTGTCGTTAAGTTGTCGGCATCTTATACAG